TATATATATATATATATATATATATATATATATATATATGTATATATAGGGGGATGATAGATAAGCACACCACACATACACACACTCATCAACATTTTAGCTGGTCAGCATATGAGCTTTTTTCTTTCATCAGTAGATTTGTTTTTTGTTTGTTGGGGAAATAAACTCTCACAAGCAGAAACAAATTTGTTCCCTTTGTGTATGCCTAAAATGTTTCACTAATCAATTTCTTACTGATGAAAGTTGTATAATATAATAAAAGCTTTTTCATTTTATTGCTTGCAATCAGTTTGTTATTTCACATTGTTGATAGATGCATATTTTTTATTGTTTTTCTTATATATATATATCTTTTTCTGATGTTTTTGCAATAAATAGAATTCTGTTTTCTGAATTTCTTTCTACTTCAGTATGGATGTTTTAGTACTTATCAGGAACAGATTAAGGTATGTGGAGGCCCTGAGGCAAATATCCTTATGGAGACCCTTTCAAGTATAATAAATATAAAAAAAACTATATTGTATTAAAAACAAACTTTAAAATATAAGAATTAATTATATAAATCGAATATTGCAATATTCATCAATAATGTTAACAAAATATTTGTGGGGACCCTATTTTGTGGGGGTCTTGAGGCAGTTGCCTCATTTGCCTCATGGTTAATCTGGCACTGGTAGTTATTATTTAAAAGCATGGGAATTTTCTTAAGTCATTATTTGATTGGTAAAATAAAGTGATAATTTTGTATTTTTCCACATTTTGGAGGTTTTGTTTTGGGAAAGGAGGGGGAATAAAGAAAATGAAGCTTTAAAAAATTGATGTTACTATTAAATGGGCTATATTCTTTTCATTTTATGAGTCATAAGCCAGTTCTAATGTTACACAGTAGCGGAAGAGGAGGACCTTTAAACATGTTATACCTAACATAGCTTTTATTGTTTAAAGAAGTATCTTTATGAAATCTCATTTAACTATTAAAATGAAAATGTCTTAAACATTCATTGGTTGTTTACCCCTATTCTAAAAGTTTATTTTTTGGTTTGTAGGATTTACAGAACTTTTTTATTTGGAATAAAAAATGATAAAATGAGATTCACCTGTCTATGTATCTTTTATGTGCTATTTAAGCATATTTCTCATATTGTGTTTTTCTCCTGTGTACTTATTTTTCTTACCAAAAATTAGTAAATTAGAATTGAATTAGTTGAAATATTGTGTATTTTTGGTATTGTATATGAATTCTTATGACTAGTAGATGTTGACTTCATGTGTATATGTTAGTTTTTCAGCTTTAAGTTTCAAATTAAAAAGTAATAGGAAAATGTGAGGAAATAAAAAGTAAAAATGTTAAAATAGTATAATAATCAATTTTACCTGTAGTTAAGTTCCAGTTGTAGAAACAAGGATTATCAGTGAAAATAATTAATTTTATCACCTGAGTTATACCCATGCAGTTTATGTCATTTCAGTTATAAATGTTTGTTCAAAGTTGCTGCAAAATAGGTTTTTTTCAGCCATTACAGCCATTCCTCGAATTGTTTGTGATGTTATCAACAGCCTGGAGTTGGTGGATAAGCAGCCTTCATGGAAAATCATGGACAATAAGGGCCGCATTACAGTTGTGTTACACTGGGATCAGCGAGATATCCACAGGCCACCTGGCCGCCAACCGTCCAGCAAACAGGGTACCATGTGGAGGGTAGAAGTGATGTCACAAGAAGCCCAAACTGCTGACCAAACCACTGCCGACATTAAAGACCTTTCAATTCAGAGAGGAGCTTGTGCCAAACTTAGTCTTGAAGACCTGGAAACCAGGCTTCCATCTTGTATGCTGCCAAAAAAAATTATAGAAAAGGAGGAAGTAAGTATCATCATTTATTTGTAGATATGAAGGTTACTATTCTTTGTTTTTTCTTTTATTAATAAAATCTTGATTACAAATAGTCAAGAGTTATATACATAGTATTTTTATTATTTTTCTTTTAGGAACTGCCAGAAGAAGGAACTTCTGCAGGACCCAGTGCAATTGCTGTACAACGGAAGGTAGGAAAAGGTCATGTTAGATTCTTGAATGTTACAAGAGAGTCAAAGATTCCTCAACAAAATGAGTCTGAATCAGACACAGAAAACACAGCTTATGATGAGGAACAACTCTCTGAACGTTACCTCCTACTGACAGACCAGCTATCTTTAGAGCAAAACTGCCATTTGACCATTAAAGACATTGGTGTTATTCTAGAGAGGCTAAGTTCCAAGATAGTAGATGTGGACAAATTAGAGCGAGAGAAAGAAAGCTCTGAGGTGCACAACTGGACAATCAAAGCATCTATTCGAGGAGAAGTGCTTCGAGAAATTGGAGTGATTTACAATGGACAATACTATGGGATAATAGAGCACCCAGGGTATTTTTGATTGGTGTTCATACTTAATAACTGAAATTTTGTTCTGGTCATTGCTGGAGTCAGGTACTGCTTAGTTGCAATAGTATTAACTTTGTTCATTTACTAAGAAAAGAAAGCTCAAAGAATAAATCTTGTTAAGGTAAATTTAACATACCTGGAACTTTGAATATAAGGTTTTTCTGTAGTTTTGACACTCAAGAACGTACAGTTAGGTAAAATATTTCTATTCATAATGTTTTGCAAAACATATATCTTTTTTTTAAGAATTCCATGAACTCATATAACTTAAGTTTTATTTTTTTTTCTCTCTCTCTCTGCAGAATTAGGTACACATTTAGAGTTCCACTTGTAACAGTTTTTGTGAAGTTGAACTTAAAAGTGTGATTAATTAAATAGATATTCATCTTCTGTAGAAGATAGTTCATGTAAGTATTTATAGATACATACAAACCAATCTTTTCCAATACGATACCTTAGCTTTTCTCATTCAGT